TGGCATGAGGACACATCAGAATCATCTAAAATTGTACCAAGTTGTTTAAATAATGTTTTTAAAGAGTAGAGAATGAATATTATCTTCATTCTCAGAGGAAAGTTATGCTTTGAATGTGTATTCAATGAAATCTATGCTACTTGAAAGTTACTGAGTAAAGCACTTGGAGAAATCATTTACATTATGTCCAGTAAAAATATTCCTATTAATTTACTTTTATGGAGTCATACATTAGAATATGAATTGTGATATGTTTGAAAGCCTGTCAAAGTAACAGTTACTATCCAGGTAATATTGTATCTAGTACTTCCAAATTTTGCATGTATGTTTTATTTTTTCAAAAAACCACTCACATTACCACAAAAATTCACAAAACATTATTGGCATAAAGAAATGTAACCATATTTTAATAGTAAAATATCATAAATGAAACAGATGTCAGCGAATGAAATCATAAAAGTCTGTCAATGTGTTGACAATAATTAAGAATTACATTTTTAATTGATTTGTTACTCAAAAGTCAATTCATATTCATATTGTTAAGTTAGGTGTATAGTAGAATGGATTGAAATATTTGAGATGCTCATTTTAGTAATTAAAGAGTTTCCAGTGAGTCATATATTATTAAGTTGTACGTTTATGACATTAGAATTTTTTCCTTCAAGGTAATCAATAATCACTCATGGATTTTTTTGTCCTTATTTAATTTCCAAATTGTGTTTTTAATAAAACAAGTGGAGTAAAAATAGAATCATTCTCATATAATACAATTGCTATGGTGTAGAATGTATAGAAAATAATTATTGTTCCCTCACATTATTTTATAACATTTAATTATTTTAAAGAATTATTATTACAAATATGCCATAAGTAAATGTGCTTGTCTGGGGTTTATTCAGAATTATTGTTCACCAAAAGCAAACAAACAAAACTATCAATCCTTTGGTTGACATTTTTTAGAGGTGAATTTTTTTGTATTTTAGGTACTGGGACTTCATAATGGTTGTAACTACTAAATATGATAGACAAAGTACACATTTTTCATAAATCCTACAAACAGCTATTTGTCCCAGCAATAGCTTTCTAAATTGAATACCAAAGAATTTAACATTCATAATGTATAACATTATAATCCATTAAAAATACTGTGACTCTGAATTTCATATAATGATAAGAATATCTATTTCATAAATAGGTAAAAACATATTTTATTTCCTAAACATAAGGACATGAAATAGTTAGACAAAGAGTCTTCTAGAATGCTCATATATATGAGTTACCATCTTTTAGTATTACACATTTTTATTTGTTAATGTAATATGTCCAATGGCTTTTAGAAATAAGAATTTGAAGGTCCATTTCTATCCATTCACTGTTCCTGACTAGCTATTTGACTTTGAAAAAGTGAGCTAATCTGAATATTCAGGATCTTAGCATTCCAACCACAGAGTAGCACCCCCTTCTCCCTGATATATATGCACATATCCTTGTATATATCAGATCATTTTCAGTCAAGTGTCCAGTTGTGTGATGTAGTAAATAAAGGGAGATCTGAACACATGATTGTATAAAAATGAATAGATAATAGTGTGTATGCACATCTGTGTGCTCGTGTGTGTATGTGCGTATAAACACTGCAAGCTCCATAGTCCTTTGATAGTATTTACTGTCCCAAACACACACTTTTAATTTGATTAGGCATGGCCTTAACACAATATTTTACTTATTGTTGAATATCTATATATAGAAATATATGTACCATAAGGAAAAAATGTGCATTTTACCTTTCTCATATATGCAAATGTATATGACATAATTTTTGCTGTGTAGGACCTATTAAGAATTATAGTTTTGAAGGATATTGTCTGTAATAATAGCATTGTCCTATATCCTCATAGAAGTATAAGCCTTGGGATTTTAGATATGAAATAGATGTTAATATTCCAGGGTAAGTTATGCTAATATTTATTATAAAAGAGAAATGATTTCTGGGGGATTAAGGCACTTATCCAAGATCACAAGTATTTAGTGAACAAACAGGCACAATTCCTACATATGCCCAGCAGAACATTACTATGATACCATTATTGTTATCTATATTTTTCTTAAAGTTAAAAAGCACTGAGAAGTATTTATATAAATTAGCAGTTAAAAAGATATTTGAAACCATTAAGGAAAATAATACATAAATATGAAATTAATATAAATTTTATGTATATACATCATTAAAATGTAAAAAGCATTGCTAACAACAGTATGTATGTACAACCAGTAATTGGTTAAATAAAATATGACCCAATTTAAAATAAAACAAAATGGTAATATTGATCTGAATTATTTACTTCGGAAGTAGTTTTTCAAAATGCTGAGATGTTTGAATGTTAAATCTTAATAATATGTGTGAATATTATAATGATATATACATTCTATGTAAAAAGTTCAGCACAGTGTCTGACATCTGTTAAATATTTAAACAAAAGATAGTGTTAATATAACATGTAAGTGACCATTAGGAAACTAACTGTAGGTTTCAGTACCCCTTAAATACTAGAGACTTATCCAAAATATAACTAATAATGAAAAGGAATGTATTCTTATCACTTCTGAATGGGAAGAGCCAGGAGTACCCACTTGGAAAGAGAGAAGGAAAAAGTTGTGTGATAAACGTAAGTGGGTCTTTCTGCTCAATGGACAGTCAAATGACCTCTGACCGGCAGCACAAGGGTAAAGCTGATACCTAGGGGCAAGCTGCAGCATAACCATGTGCAAACTTTCCACAACAATATTACACTTCTGGTTGTAGTAAATATTTAAACTACTTTGGAAAATTAAAACCTTGACCAAGTTGACAGAATTTTAATTTCCTCAAAAACTGTAATTGTGTCACTGCTGAGAACTCCAGAGAGATGTTCTTAAATACAAATGAATATACCAATCACAAATTAAAATACTCCCATTAGAAATATTGGAAAAGAATGATTGATTTGTTGTGCTTATTCTATTAGAACTATACTTCGAAGGACATTATTTTCTAATAATATTTTTAAATTCTCAATTGATTAAAAGAACTAATGTACTCTATTTTATCATATCTGTAATGTCACTGAAAAACAGTGTAAAATATGGCTTTCCTGAATCTTTCAAAACTGTAGGAGTGTCTCCTTTCCCGTCAATTACCTTCAATGAAACTTTAGGGAGGGATATCCAACTACTGTAAACCTCAAAACTGTGTACTTAAACAGGTCAGGCTTTAATTCATTTCAGAATAGGCAATCTAAACACAAAAATCAACCAAGAATCCAAAAGCATATTAAACCAAAATTCACTTGGTCAGGTGACTTTCATGTAACTATAACTCTATAATATATAAAAATATAGATTTTATGGTATTTCAAAATAATATTTGAATAAGAGCATGTGTGAATGTCAAATAAGCAATTTGATAATGGAATTGTAAATTTCCAAACACTTCCATATACATGTCTATCTGCACAGAGAGGATCGATTTTTCATTGGAGTGTTTTGTGTGTTAATATCATTTCAGGTCACTGGTATCATGAGATTGAGATTGTTGTCATAAGGAGAAATAGGTGTAGAAAGCAGAAAATTTGAAGATTAAAGACTTCCTCTGCATGCATACCTAATAATGTAATAAACAGATATGGCAAATGAGATGACCATTAGTCCAGGGAATTCTTAGCTGAGAATTGGTTACTAGTATCACATGAAGACATGGCTCACATTTCAATAATTAGTTACCAAGTAAGGTAAAATATTTGATTTTCAGAATTTTTTGTCATCTACCAATGGGCAAACTATAGCTTCTATGGCTCAAAATGTTTTCTCTTAATATTGACATTTAAAAACATTTTAAAAGGGTTATCCATAATTTTCAGTGAGATAACATTTCAAGACAATTCCCATAAACAGTCAAAAATGTAAAGTTCTTCTAAGTGGAGTTAAGCACAAGCTCTTCATGTAACTATGCATATCTAACTTACTTAGAATTCAGTAGTCTAGAAGCCACAGTGTGACAGTTCTGAGCCATGTGTCAGCACAGTGAAAGCAGTGACAAGCATCATCTTGGAAATTTTATTACATAATAAAAGGAAACATGTTCTTAGACAGCAGTTGGAAAATAATTTCTACTACTTCAGATGGTATGATTTATGTACCCCAAGGCAATAAAGCATCAAGAAGAAAGCTACACTAAACTTATTTCAACTATAATAGAATTATAAATATGATTTAGGATTAACCTGAAACACTAGGACCTTTCATGAGAAGAAAGATGTGTATTCAGCATGCTTACAATGCTTATAGCATTTAAATGCACATCATCCAGCACATACTGGAGTAGAAATTCCCTTTTGCAACACAAAAACATAAAACTTTGAGTTAATATGAGTGTTTTGAGGATAAGTAAGTATAATAATTTCACATATAAAATAACAAGCCATACTTTAGTTTGCTGACAAACAGCACAAACAGTTTGTAAGGTTACAATCTACCTGGAATCATTTACTATCTCAATAAGCAAACTTCACAACTTAACAATGTCTTTAGGGGGAAAAAACTCTCCCTAAGTCTGACAAGAGTTGACTATGCCGCACTGAAAGCTATCACCAAATTTAATCTAGAAATGTATTTTTTTGCTTTTTTATAGAATATAAAATGAGACAAGAGTCACTAAATAACTGGTTCTCCATTAAGCATATTTGACAAAGTTCATCTGCTAAAGCGTGGAGTGACACAACACCAATTCTTAGGGACAGTGCCTGGGGGAGGGATTCCGTGAGAACAATTCAGGGAACACACAGAAAATCGGGTTAAAGTTTCCTCAAAGGGCTCGCAGTGGCATTAAAATCACATCGAAAATTAATTCTCACAGTTTTCTAAATTTTAACTGTATTTTCAAACTGGCATCACATCTTTTATATTTCTTTTCCTATGCTTACATGAATTTATGAAACTATAAACTTAAAGCAATTGTTCCTTACCTTTGATTCTTGAGCTTTCTTGACTTTTTTCCTGCTGGAATTAAAACAGAAATAGATCAAGATCTGTAAGTAGGTGTTCACCAGCATGATACAAATTATCAGTAAAACTAAAGCCTTCTCTAAATGTTTTGTTGTACCTATACCCAGGGGTCATTGTAATACAATTCTCATCTTAATGAATACTTATGTCAAATCTTTTATTAGAGTAGTAATCATTCTTAGTGGACATAAATTCCTCTAAGAAATCAATATATTATATGAATATGAATTTATAAATAAATGAACAAATGGTTAATGAATAAAAAATAACCTGTCATGCCTCTCAAATGCCTTAGGCATTTAGAATTCTGTTTAATTCTAACAGATTATGAATGATGTCTTCAGAATTTGGTTTCAACATCTATACATTAATGATAAATTGTTGCTGAGGGAAAAAGCTTTAGAGCAAACAGTGGAGAATTCGCTAAAAAAAAAACACAAAGGACATTTCAATTGTCTTTCCTTAAGTTAAACTTAGAATTAGTCCCTATCTCACTTTCTAAGGCTAAAGTTGACAACAATTCTATTATTAATTCAAACGTTGCTTCAGTCAGACCTGTCTTTCAATTTGACATAGTCCTCATTCGTTACCAGGCAACCCCAAAAGAATTAGCTTGCTTTCTGTTTTTAAGTAGAAACTGTGCACTCTATGACTTCTCAATTAATATTCATGCATAGTTTACTCTGTCTAAAAGTTTCAGGCTCTCAAACTAAAAATAACTTTGAAATATATCTCTAATAAAAAGTGACACACACACACACACATACTGAACCACAGAACTGTATTAATGCCAATAAATTTTGTTAAAATTTATACACATAATAAAAATATAAAGAATTTTGCTGTAAGCATTAATCCCAGAGTAAGATTTTGAGAAAATGAATATTGACAAATGTACATTTGTTGGACCAGCTAATCCAGTGTATGACTCTATCAGACTTTAACACTTTTGCGTTCTAATTCTCTTATCCTAATTCATCTAGCCTTTGAGTTTGAATGTTATTCTCTACTTTGTTAATTAATAGAGTTATCCACTTTTGATTTATTTTTAATTTAGAGAATCTGTTGTTCATTTAAAGTAAAATTTAAATATAAATTATTTGTTTTGAAAGTGCATTCTTCTTTCATAATTATAGGATGAGCAGGCTTAATTTTTTTCAAAGTGTATGTTAATTAAAAATACTCTCGGTCTCTCCCCTCCTCTTTTTCCATTCATTTATTTATATAGTCATCATTCTTTCAACAAATATGTATAGATTACTTTTATGTGCCAGAGATTGCTCCAAGTAATAACATAAAGGATGAAAAAAACTGAAAAAAATGTCCTTATTGAAAATACTGAATAAATGGTAATGTTCTATTTGTGTAATTTGTTTTTAATTAAATTTATTGGGAATGATATTAGTTAATAACGTTATATAGGTTTCAAGTGTATATTTCTATAATACATGATCTGTGTATTTAGGAAAAGAATATGGTAGTTTTACAGTGAATGACTATACTTTTATATAGGTATACAACAATACAATGATTTTTGAACAAAATTATGAATGTGATGAAAGGATGCTCCACGCAGCTTCATCAAAACAGTGTGCCTGCTCATGCATCATCTCTTGTGCAGAGTTATCTGATGAAACATCAAATCACCGGGGTGACTCAGCGTACTTACAGCCCAGATTTGGTGCCCTGAGGCTGATGGCTTTTCCCAAAACTAAAATCACCTTTGAAAGGAAGAGATTTCAGACCACTGATGAGATTCCAGAAAATAGGATGGGGCAGCTGATAGTGTGTGGTTGTGAGGTCCCAAGATGCCTATTCTGAAGCGGACTGAGGTGCCATTGTCCTGTGTACAATGTTTCTTGTATCTTCTTCAATAAATGTCTCTATTTTTCACATTACATGGCTGGATACCTTCTGGACAGACCTCATATATCTGGGGAAAACATGTTTTAGGAGTAAAAAACAACTGAAATTTCCTGAGGTGTAAAAGTTCTTGGCATTGTCAAAAATACCAAAGGAGAACAGTATTACTGGACTGGACTGAGTCAGGCGAGTCTAGGAGGAAATGCAATCAGGGGCGGATAAACTAGCACTTGGGACATTTGTTTGATCTTTGTTTTTTTTTACTGAGAGGGCTGAAAAAACATTGAAAGTTTCTTCTCAGAGGAACACCATTATCTGGATCACATTCAGGGAGAATCATTCTGGCTACTGAGAATAGGTCAAACAGGGCAAGGATGAAATTAGAGGAACCAGTAAGAAAAATCTTGTAGCGGTCTAGGTGGGAGTTGATAATGGCATAGAGCAGAGCGGTAGTAGTGGCACTGGAATTTATGTTAGAGCTGGAAAGGTTTTCTCATAGAATAAATGTTGGGTGTGAAATAGAGAATAAACAAGGGTGATCTCAAAGGTCTGAGCCATTAGAAATAAGGAGTTACCTCTAATTATAATGAACACGATGGCTGAAAAAGAAACACTTATCCTTGCCTTACTAGCTCACCAGTATTGCCTTCTCTGTGAATTTTTCTTTTGTTGCCCGTCCACCCCTGCTCCATCTTCTTTATTCATTCCTCTTCATATTCTCAATTCCTAAATATGAGTTCCCTAGATATTGAGACCTTACCCTTTTTCCATATACCTCACTCCCACAGTGATCTTATCCAGCCTTCTGAACTTCAGTGTCACTTTTCTCGTAAGAACTTAAACTTCCGATTCATCTATTCAGCTGCATTTTTGACACCTATACTTGGACATCTAATAACAGCCTACCTGTCATATCCAAAACTGAACCCCTGAACTTCCCTTACTTTTTTGGCCATATTTCTCATGTTCCTCATATTCTTCATCTCTCCATCCTTCTAATTGTTCCTTAAAGTAAATTTTTTCTACTTTGTCTCTTAGTAGATAAAGGACCTGGAATTTTCATGAGCTTCATATTTGACTTTGATTTTACTTTTAATTTTACTCTGAGGATGAACAGTAGGCATATGATTAAAGTGTCTGGAACTCAGCAGGACATATAAATTTAGAAATCAACTAGCCTTTCTATAAACCATCAGTACTACAACTGTAGGTTGAATGATCTAGACCTGAGTATTGAAAACAATGTAAAAAAATTAATACACTGAATCAGCCAAGAAAATGAAAGAATAGGTAAATTATAGGAGAAAACCCAGGAAAGAATGGAATCATGAAATCCTAGGGTATATATTACCTCAGAGGGAAATTTCAATAGTATAGAATTTTTCTGACAGGTCAAGTCCAATTATGTTTAAGCCATGCCCATTTGATACACTGAAATCAACAGAATCACTGACTTCAAAGAAAGAACAATTTTGGTGGTATAATGGGCTTCGATATAAAATTGAAGTTTTTTGAGGAAGGACAGGAGAGTTGAGAAATGTATGAAGTGATAAAAATGAAATGGGAGAAACATGATGAGAAAAGAAGGGCCTGGGGTGGGGTGTAGCTAGAGAGTATAGTCATTTATAGAGGTGGCATCTATTTTTGTTGTGTATTTGTCTTTTTGTTTTATTTTGATTAGTTTTATAATATTTATATTACAGAGAATTGAAAACGTCTAAATGATAGAAGATACATAATAGAAATTGAGACGGTTAAGATAAAAGGGAGAGATGTTATGAGTGATTTTATAAGGGTATTGAAATGGTAGATGTGATACATAAAATAAGAGGGAACAAAATTTAAATAGGAGAACCAGTTCCTCTAATATAGCAGGTAGGCACAGGAAAGCATGGTCATAAATACAGTAGGTTTGTAGGTCTGACATACTAAATTAAACATGTTCAATCTGTGATTTATATTCTTTATGTATTAGCAGGAAAGTCCACTGAGTGATGTAAATGGTTTATCAGAAATCTGAAGAAACAGAATGGATTTTAAATGCACTGCTTCATTTGTGTGTGTGTGTGTGTGTGTGTGTGTGTGTTGTATGAGAGACGGTGAGTAGAAGAACTGCTTGGTATTATTGAAATCCTGTTTTGTTATCATAAATTTGTAGTGGTATGAATCTTACTCATTTTAATTACAAATAGGCTTAATGCCCACTGATATTACATTTTATTATATTTGCTTCTTAAAATCCAATTCTCTATTTATACATTTTTATATACTTATAAACTACCAATGGACATATCCTACAAACTAGAAATGATTAAGAAGAATTACTTAAAGAAGACCAATTACTTATTAATTTATTGGACTGGGAAGAATGGAACAGATTTGTCAAGTAAGAAGAAATCAAAGACTACTCCATTACTGCCAAACTTGTATTAGAATGCTGTTAGCAGAGACATATACATAATTTAGGATTTTGAAAGTAATACTTTTTAAAAAATGTTTTATATGTTAATTTAAAATGAAGCAATGTTAAGGAGAAAATTGTGAATTTTTAATTATACAATTAACTCTTAAGTGTTAAGACTTAACACTTAGACTGACATACTTAGTGACAAAGACTTTTTACCCTGTCCACATTATATATTTGAAACACATTTTTATATTAGAAAACCTTGGTTCTTGTTTGTAATAGCAGAATGCCAAACTTTTGTTATAACCCAATTTTAACATTCCTTCAAAAGATTTTCTCATAAAGTGATCTTGTATTAAAATAAGAAATATATTTTGGCCAGGTATCAAAGCTAAATAATAGTATACCATTTATGTTTTACTTTCTACCACACCATTTCTTGGAAGAATCCCAAAGTGCTATATTAATTACATAAATAGACTCCATGAAATTCAGCTCAATGATAGAAATGAGCAAATAGATTCTTACAGACATATAATAAAGATTAGCAAAGATAATTGGGGCAGAAGTATAGATTCAGAGGAAACATATAATTGCATGATAAGATCTTTTAAATATTTTTTAAAAACAGCATAATAAATAGAATTAGCTAAACCACTATAAAATTAAGACAACTTGAGATACACAGTAGTTTTTAAGCTGATGTCATGGTTTTAAAGCACCT